CTAACATCTATTTAGGAACAAGACAGCAGTGAGAGAATCCTAAAATACAGACATGAGGATGAAGCCCATCCTACACGTCAGAGACTAAGACACATCCAAACAGTGAATTCAGTGAAGCTGAGGGTCTCAAAATTAACATACAAAAATCAGTAGCATCTCTATTCACCAACAACAAAGTTAAAAATAAATAAATAAAGGGATCAATCCCATTTATAATAGAATAAAAAATTAAAATGCATAGAAGTAAATTTAGCCCAAGTGGTGAAAGATCTCTACTCTGAAAACTACGACACTGATGAACAAAATCAAAGAACAAATAAATAAATGGAGAGATACCCTTTTTTCATGGGTGGAAGAAATGATGCTGTCAAAATATTGACACCTAAAAAAGCCACCTATAAATTCAATGCAACTCCTATCAAGATTCCAATGTTTTTTTTTAAAAGAAATGGGAAAAAAACATTCCTACAATTTGTATGGAACCCTGAAAGATGCACAAAAAAAAATTCCTACAATTTGTATTGAAAAAGATGTAGAGTAGCCGAAAAAGACCTGAGAAAGAGTTACCAAGCAGAAGGCATCACACTTCCTGATTTCAAGCTGTACTATAAATCTATAACCATCAAAAGTTTATGATACTGACATAAAAACAGAAAAATAGACCAGTGGAACAGAATAGGGAATCGAGAAATAAGCCCAAGCACAATCACTTGACCAAGATCTGACAAGGGAGGCAAGAACACTCAGTGCAGAAAAGACAATGTCTGCAATAAATAGAATTGGGATCATTGAATAAATATAAGTGAAAGGATGAAACTGGACCCATATCTTACACACTTATAAAAATTGACTCAAAAGGAATCAAAGACTTAAACCTAATACTTGAACATGAAACTCCTTGAAGGAAACTCTAAAAACACAGGCAGCAAGTGCATCGACGTGAGATCCGTCAGCACTGCTGTGCATCCACACAGAAAGCGCAGGAACAACTCAGAATAAACAAGCGAGAGGGCACCAGACTGAACACAGAAGTCACCAGCAAAGTGAGAGGACAGTGTGCACAATGGGAAAAACATGTGCAACCCATGCATCTAACAGGCGATTAATATCCAAAATATACAAACAACTCATACAATCCAGAGCAGAAGGAAGCAGGTCAGAAACTACAAACTTCCAGCTACAAGATAAGTACTAGGGATGTAATGTACAGCAAGATAACTATAGGTAACACTGCTATACAATATATTTAAAAATTGTGAAGACAGTAAATCCTAACAGTTCTCATCACAAGAAAAGTGTTTTCCCTTTTTGTCTTTCTTTTCTTTGTTATTTTATTTAGGTGGGAGGATGAATAATAGCTGATACTGATGTGATAATCATTTTACAATATGTGTGGATCAAACTATAAAGCTTTATGCTTAAATTTAGGCAGTGATGTATGCCAATTGTTTCTCAATAAAACTGGAAAACAATGAAAGCATTTGGGTTAAATTTAATACAATGTTTTAGAAAAACTGATAATGTTCAGGTAATTTAAACCACATTAAATAATTGCCTATTGGCAAAAAATTATCTGCGCAAATGATTTATTTGTAGTGTTTTGCAATAGCCTTTAGCAGTTTCAATTACTAAATCTATGTTGGCAGATGCTCATTTATTTGCTCATTAATTCAGGTTCTAGTTGGTCAGTGTATTACGTGCTCAGATATTCATCATTCTCTAGTTGGCCCAAGGACGACCTCCCATCTGCTATATAAGTTGCTTTTGTTTGAGACTTACCCTTAAGAACAACAGGCAGTGAGAGGATGTGGTCTTCTTTGGTGATCCCCACTTTTCTCCTCCTGAGCTTTTTTCCTGTGGGCTTGGCCCCAGATCCAGGGTCAACCACCCATGGAAATGACATCTACCCCCCTTTCTGGGACCAAACTGATGGAGACATAGCAGAATTTCCAGTGCAGAATAACAAGATAATCATTGATCCCTGGAAATATATGGATCGACTAAGAATATATAAGATCCTTATAACAGAATCAAACAAATATTTTGCTTCATTTTGAAAAAACAATACAGGCAATGTGTTTTGGCTACTGACTTTATTTTATGGAAGGCTATTTAAAACAGGTATGTACATGTGAATTATTCTCAAGGAAAATTGCTTTTCTCTTTCTTTGATGCTAGGAATGGCATTATAGCTAATCTATTTAAGCGTTACTGTCTGAATGCTCAGGCATTCAGTCAATATAACCAATGCAGTCAATATAATCATTTATCTTTAAGTACTCAGGCTTTTATATGACCTAATGAAATACTTCTTTTGATTAGTAAAGTTATTTGTCACACCTTTGCTTTCCATTTTATAGCCTTCCTGGTTTAAAAATAAATTCCTGTAAGCTGAAAAAGCTTATTGTTTGAAAAAGAAATGTCTCCTTCTAGATTAAAAAAACTCTTGTTTTTTTCAAAGCCTGACAGGCTTCTCAGATACATGTGACACTATAAATATCTCCGTTTAATGGGGTGAGATTAATATAGGAAATAAGACAAGATTTCTTTTAGCTATGAAATCCAGGGTGAGGTATCACACAAACTAAGGTAAGGAACTTTCTTTCCCTTAAAAGCCTGGGCTTTGCCTCAAAAATTTTAGTGGAAAGTAATAAGTTATGGCCCTCACTGCACAGTCTCTTTCCTGATAGTTGTTAGGCTCAGGCAGAAAAAAGGGCTGAAAACAGGGGGGAACTGGTCCAGAATGCAGCATTCTTGTCCTGCACTTAAACAAGTAGGATGGGGAGACAAGTGTGATGCTCAAAACTCAGCATTCTCTCTGAGAAAGGGAGAAAGCTTCTCTCTTTTCTGCCTCTGTTATGGTGAATTTCTCCATCTGTATTTTGCTCTCACTACTTCTTCAATCAGTTATCTTATTACTGAGATTCTGGAACTAAATCAGCTTCCCACTCTCATGAAATTCCTTTTTAAATGGTCTTCTCTGGATGTGACTAGAAGGAGTCTAGAATGAAACAATGTCTAGAATACGGTGCCTTGAAAAAAAAAAAAACTTCTGCCCATGTAAACTATTGCAATGAAGCCTTTTGATTTAGGAAGAAAAGAAGGACCCACAGAGACTGCCTTGTGAAACGCTCTGCAGGTCCAGCTTAGTCAAGAAGGAGTTGGTAAAGAAAATAATAAGGAAACATAAAAAACCAGAAAAATGCAAGAAAACGTCTGTACAGGCTGGAATTTCTGAGAAGCTTTGAGCTCTCAAAGTGAATGAAATGCTATTCATATGAATGGACCATATCATTAGCAGAAATAACCCTCTTACTCTTTGGAGTGGAGCATATGAGTCTTTTCCTCTCTTATGGCTTTCTATTCAAGGATCAACTCTTTTCACCTTCCCTGTTTACTCTGTAGATAGATTTTCAGAGCCTCCCAATAGTTCCCGGTGTGCCTATGAGTCTGGAGTCTCCAGCTGCATATCTATCAACAGTGCCTGGGGAGGTAAGTGTTTCATTCCACCATGCTCCTTTACTGATCTGTGGCTCGGGGCCTGCTCTCTCTGCTTTTTAATGGGATAGGCTAAGTTGGGTTAACTCTTGATATTTGCTTTGTAAACATATACAATTTTCTGTGCAATTTCCCAGGAGATGATCATTAAAGCAAAACTTGAATGATAACTCTGCTATGGCGATGTCTAAGTTAATGATGTACACTACACTGTCATTTTGTGTCAGGGATGTCGGCATGTGCTCAGTTGTGTCCAGCTCTTTGAGACCTCATGAACTGTAGCCCACCAGGCTTCTCTGTCCGAGCAAGAATACTGGAACGGATTTCCATTTCCGACTCCAGGGGATCCTCCAGACCCAGGGATTGAAACCCCGTCTCTTGCCATCTCCTGCACTGGCTGGCGGATCCTTTAGCACTGTACCGCTGGGAAGCCATTGTTCATTTTAGGTAGATACTAAAGAAGAAAACGATACTTTCAAGTACCTAGTATTTCACATTTTCTATTGCATATTCCACCCACTCCTAGTCCCTTCTACAACTAGCTACTATTTATTTCACACTTACACATTCCAGAACCTCACTTTAGCCATTAAGAGAGATTTAATTCAACCCTTGCCACGATGTTAAATCAATATTCTCATAATACAGAGAATCAAGCAGAAGCTGAGAGAGGTTGAGCAATTTGCTTTTTATCACAAAGCTAGTAATAGAAAGTCTAAACATTCATCTTTCTCTCTCAGTTCATTTCCTTAATCACTTAAGTTTTCCTCCTTAAACCCCTAATTTGAAAAAACAGCAAGAACTTAATAATGATTTATTATTTTCAATTGCAAGTCATTTCGTGCCTTAAAAACCAATTTCACTATAGGGGACACCTAACATATCTGCTCCTTCTGATTGGTTTATGCAGGAATATATCTTCATTAGGTACAAAGTTTTGGAAGAGTGAATTTATAAATGTACATTTTAAAATAAAGGTTGTACCTGGCAATGAACAAAATTCTTCTAATTCAAGGTAAAGTTTATGCTGAGACTCATCCACTCAAAGGTGAAAATTAAGGCTAAAAGTAGAAATAAGTGAAATGAGGTCAACTAGTGCCCTAGGTTTCATGTAATGAGAAAATGACTTGTCATCAAAAGGCTTGAAAATATTCCTTGAAATACCTATCTATCAGTTGTGTCTTCTCCCTTATGTTTGGTATCACCAGTATCTGGCTTCTCCTTGACATCTAGATCAACAATCAAAATAGTTTTCTTATTGTCAAGCAGGAATGTGGAAGGATGTGCTTCGTTAGCGGAAGGTATGGATTCATGCCTGTGACCAAAGCCTGGCTGAGGAGTAGGCCTAAGAATAACCCTGGCCTGGGAGCTGCCAGAATCCTGGTAGACAAGATGAACTGAGGAATCAAGAAGTAGATAAATAGTCCAAAGACTAGAGTGAGGACTTGGTTGAAATGAATTAGCATCAAGAACCAGAAGAAAGTGAAACTGAAAATGAGAAAATGTATTCAAGTTTGTTTGGGAAGAACTTTGGTGGGTTTTAGAACTATCCTTAAGAGAGCTAAGATGGTCATATCAAAATCTCTTCCTCAGACTAGGCAGAGTATCTCCACAAATATCATCTACATATGTAACCAAACTGAAGTAAATATTTTCCTAAGCCAAATCTGATTATTTGCTTCCTATGTAAGGGGTAAATAAATATGGGACAGAAATTATTTGGAACTGGATTGAACTAAGTAGATTCATATACAAATTTCTGTATCCAGAGTGTGCCCCCAATGGAGACTTTCCTGACTGTGATTATCCCTAAGTTCTCATAATCATATGCATTTCCTAGAGCCAACAAATTCAACATGAAAGTTTGGAGAATAAATAAGATAAATGGTATAGATTAAGCGTTAGTCCCTTGGTTAACTCCTACTTTGTATACACAGTTAATGGCTTCAGATATCTCCATCCTATTTTTTTTGTGCAGGCATTAGCTACTATGTGATTATTATGTATTTCCTTGCTGCAATTGAATCTGACTTTTTGGGGAATTTGCCATATGAGGTAGAGTTACTACCTCGAGAGGAGTACAGATCTAACTTCTGTTATTCAGTTGAGGAATGCCGTGCAGCCTATCCACAAATTATGGATATAGCCAACAGGCTTTATAAGGTAAAAGAATGCAATGATATTTTTATGAATGGAATGAATGAAAACACTGAATGGAGTTCTTCTGTTGGGATTTATGATGTAAAAATAGACTAAACTTCACATTTATATGCATTTGAAATTATGTTAGAGTTTTGTCCCTTCCCGCTCTAATCATTCTGCTTAGTATCCTGAAGGGATCCTAATAGTTAATATCAAATTGGCATGATTGTATTTATAAAAACATTTTTTCAATAGAATCCATGTAATAATCACCAAATTATGTTTGCCTCTGCAAACAGAACAGCATAAAACTCTATACAAAATGAAGCGAAATGACATCTTTAAGTGTTAAAATCTATTCTGAAAATAAATTTCATTTCTAAACAATCAGCTAGATGAGTATGTTACAATGTTCTTTTTCAGGAATTCATGATACTGGTAATTAAATATATTTTAATTTATTTTAAAATCTTTTAATGACATAAATCTTATTCATTCTACAGTATCTGCAATCCAGAAAGATAGTTTCCATTACCAGAGGTATTCCTCAGTATGACACAGATGAGGACACAGCGATCTTTAAGATGTGGGTGGCCCATCAAGCTGCCATTGATGTGGCAAAACCGAAGTTCAGTGATGTGTAAGAGAATTGCTTTATGTGATGTAATTAAACTCAATTTTTTTTCTGGCATAGTAAAACATAATGTTTAAGTTTTGGTTGCCTCAAATGTTCATAGCTCATATTTTCCATAATATCAGGAAATGGTTTTTCCACTTTTACTTGTAGTTCATCTAAGAGTCACATATCAGGTATATATCTTGAATGTAGCTTTTCTTAGTTTATACTTGTCAGTTCACTCTTTCAATTATGTCTCCTTAATTTGAAAACTTTTCAGTGTAGACCAATTTATTAATTTTTTTCCTTTACTATTTAATTCTTTTTCTGGTTTAAAAAAAAAAAAACCTGCCCAGTAATTTTCAATGGCTTGGTATTTTGTTGTATGTTTGTATGTGTGTGTGTAGAGTCCTATTTATTAATAGTTCATCACTAACTGTGATGTTTCTTCTCTCAGCTCCACAATGTTATCAAAGACTTTTCTCATCATGTCAACATTAGAGCAATACCTGTCAAAATCATTCATTGCCTTGAGTCTTCCCTTCTTATTAGGAACTAGGGCTGCCATCACCAAATACTATAGACTAGGTGGTTTCCATCACAGAAATTTATTGTCTCACAATTCTGGATGCTGCAAGTTCAGAGCTAGGATGCCAGCATGGTCAGCTTCAGCTGAGGGCCCTGTTTCTGGCTTGCAGATGGCTGCCTTCTTCCATCACGGCATCTGTGTCTTCACATGGAGAAGAGAGAAAGAGAAAATCTGCACTCTAGTCCCTCTTTCTCTTTAGTATGAACTTCGACATGTAAATTTTCAGGCTATCATACCTTTTTTCTTAAAGTTTGAACTCACACTGTGTCAATATTGTTGTCCACTATGATATCATAGAATGTGTTTTTAATATTTTATTCAGTTTTTATGGTTGTTCTCTGCAAGAGAGAATTGAGCATGCCATTTAAGTCTTTAAATTAGATGAACTCAAGAAAAACCATCTGTTGTCCATTTGTTTGTCCCCTGGCCTTGGGCCCTGTTATGTCCTACTCAAGAAGATGATTTGATTTCTGTGGCAAATTTCTAGTCCACTTCTTATTTCCTAGGAATTAGGAGCAATTATATTAGTATATGCACACAATAAACATGAGTCAATTGTGTATGTTGTTGAAGAATTTCCAGAAATTGGTACTAGATAACCTTCTATTCATTGTACTAGTTCATAGTATCTAGTCCCTGAACTGTGTTTGTGGAAACCAAGTGACATTAGACATTAGTGGCACAGAAATTAGATATAGGAGAAACACAAGGAGAAAGCACCCAGAATAAATCTAGTAGAAGTAAGAGAGGGGCTTGGTTATGATGCTACAAGTTTTTTAAATTGTGATTCAAAGTTTTGCCATCTCTGTTGCTATGTAACAGATTCTTCCTTGGTGGCCCAGATGGTAAAACATCTGCCTGTAATGCAGGAGACCCAGGTTCACCCCCTGGGTGGGGAATATCCCCTGGAGATGGAAAGGGCAACCCACTCCAGTACCCTTGCCTGGAAAATCCCATGGGCAAAGGAGCCTGGTAGACTTCAGTGCCATGGGGTAGCAAAGACTCGGACATTACTGAGTGACTTCACTTTCACTTAGATTCTTCAGCCAGGCACAATGTAGGAGATAGTGTGAGGATTAATTACAATATACTGAAACTAGGTTTGGTTCAGTCAATTATTTAATAAAAGGCATAAAATTCCTAAGGAACATGGGAGAAAAGACACATTTAGAATTTGATTTGCATTGAAAGGAAGTATTTTCTAACTCATGCAGCTAACTTTGTGTCCTTCCTTTAGATCATTCTATTCTTCTGAAACTGAACGAGACTTCACTATGGACTTTCTGGTGACTGCAGAAATTTTTGAGGCAGTATTATATCGTCCATACTTTGAAAGTTCAGCAGAACTCCTAGTGGGTTTCCCACACAGGCTACTCACAGATCAGGATCGGAATGTCCTCACGAGTAACTTCAGCAGACGGGAAAAAGCATTGATCACTGTAACAAAACTCACTACAAAAATAAATAAAAGCACAGGTATGATTATGATTTATACTATCCATGAAGCTTAAATGAACCAAAGTCATTTAAGAACTAAATGTATTTAATGACCCATTCAACAGGAATGATTGAGTGCCTGCTATATTATAGATATATTGAATATAATTGTGACAGTTACTGAAAACTACCCTTCCAGGACCTCAAATGTTATATAGCTTCTGCAAGAGTGACAGGTCTAAAATCAACACTTTGATATGTTTCTTCTTAAAATTCTTATTGCTATCCTAATAATATTCTGGATTTTTGCTTAGGATTCAAAACTGCTAGTCTGTGAACATCTGGCTCTTCATTATTGCTGTGTCAGTCTCCCCAGGGTAAAGTGTGCTCTTCCGCCAAGACAGAGAATATAATAAGAAATAGGGATGGTTGGGGTGGAAGTAGGAAAGCTGGGTGCAGAGAGACAGTTATATAATATTTTTGAGCATCAATTAAATAATGGATATTGAGCTTTCTGTCTTCACACATCATTTTATTTGTTGTCCTTAGGTACAGTAGGAAATTCATGGCATTGTTTACATTTTTGAAGAAAAAGTTCATTTGACATTAAATAACATGTCCAAAATGATATACTTTGTAAATAGCTGAAGCAAACTTAAACTCCAGCTTGTTTAAATTCAGTTTTAGGGGTTTCATTTTTCTTCACTACATAATATTACCTGCGTTGAAAATACAAAAGTTATGATGAACTAGTGAACCTTACACATTTAAATCTCAATCGTTTAGAATTAGAACTGTGGAGTCTCTTCAGTTCCTGCCCATTTTTTCATGGGTTAATCCTAAGGATCAGGGAAGATAAGTTGCAAGTATCACGTAGTTTTAGTGACAGTTGGACAGCAACCAGGTCTCCTTCCTGGCAGGAAAAGGTTCACTCTAGAAACAAAACACTGCAAACAAGAGTAAGAACGGAGTTATGACGGGTCTCAACAATTTGTGCTTAATTTATTGCATAAAATATTGTGGCTATTACACTGTGTGAGAATTTTTTTAATACATCTCATTCTCAAATAAGGGAAACAGCTCTTCATTTATTATATATGCGGCCAAAGTGAGCACAAGGAGAAATAGCTCTTCTTTTATGCTGTTAGATTGTCCAACACAATGCATTTCCCTGTATCCTATGACAATCCTATTGGTCAGACAGTGTTACTAATATATTACAAATCCTGTAATTAGAATATTGATCTTATTTTGTATATTTTTAGATTTTAAAGTTGTATTCAAAGTTTTATTAGCTGGAAATATAAATGTTTCTATTTTCACAGGAGGATTATTTTTAACAATTTGGAAGAAGCTCATGACTTCAAAATTTGCTCGGGCTATGGGACGTTTCTTCATTAATAGGCTACTCTTAATACCAATTGAGTAGTCTAACTTCCTGCTATTACGTGTTGATCACTTTAATTTCAAGAATAAAAGCAATCAAATATTATAATGACTGTGAAAAGTTTCTGGTTCTTAGTATCCCTGCTTCATCTTTGTATTTTCAAAGTTACCAGTCAATAATCCTCCCTGCCACCCTCCCCTCAGAATTGAGATACATACCTGGTAGAAGCTAATTAGTGTCATAGAATGCCTGAGTTGCACATGATTATGTCAATATCTGTGTCAAGACATGTTACACTATTGCTAGCTAAGATTTTTATACTACTTTCAATGCTCATTCATAGACTGCCAGGTAAGCAGGGAGAATTCTCCTCTAAAAAGATTATTCTTATAAGATACAACTTTGGGCACTGAAGAGACATTTTAAGTAATTTATATTCTAGGGCAGAACTCCAAGTGCATTGCCATATGAGTACATTTATCAGTTTATGTAATGAGTGAGTCTGGTCTTTCAGTGTCTGAGCACATGGAGAAATCATTTTGCCATCGAGGAGAAAAGTTCTGAGCTACTCCAGTTTAAGACCCAGTTCTCCCTCAGTCAGTCTCTCCCATGAGGGAGCTTCCATAAGCCTCTTCTCCTCCTCCAGCAGAGGGCAGACAGACTGAAAACCACAGTCACAGAAAACTAACCAATCTGATCACATGGAACACAGCCTTGTCTAACTCAGTGAAACTATGAGCCATGCTGTGTAGGGCCACCCAATATAGACGGATGATGGTGAAGAGTTCTGGAAAAAGTGGTCCACTGGAGAAGGGAACGGCAAACCACTTCAGTATTCTTGACCTGAGAACCCCATGAACAGTTTGAAAAGGCAGAAAGATAGGATACTAAAAGATGAACTCCCCAGGTCAGTTCATGCCCAATATGCTACTGGAGATCAGTGGAGAAATAACTCCAGAAAGAATGAAGAGACAGAGTCAAAGCAAAAACAACACCCAGTGTGGATGTGACTGGGGATGGAAGTAAAGTCCAATGCTTTAAAGAGCAATATTGCACAGGAACCTGGAATGTTGGGCCCATTAATCAAGGCAAATTGGAAATGGTCAAACAGGAGATAGCAAAAGTGAACATCGATGTTCTAGGAATCAGTGAACTAAAGTGGACTCGAATGGGTGTAATTTAATTGAGATGATCATTATATATACTATTGTGGGCAAAAATCACTTACAAGAAGTGGAGTGGCCATCATAGTCAACAAAAGAGTCTGAAATGCAGTACTTGGATGCAATCTCAAAAACGACAGAATGATCTCTGTTTGTTTCCAAGGCAAACCATTCAGTATCACAGTAACCCAAGTCTATACCGCAACAAGTAACACTGAAGTCAAGAAGTTGAATGGTTCTATGAAGACCTGCAAGACCTTCCAAGACTAACATCCAAAAAAGATGTCTTTTTCATTATAGGGGACTGGAATACAATAGTAAGAAGTCAAGAAATACTTGGAGTAACAGTCATATTTGGCCTGGAGTACAGAATGAATCAGGGCAAAGGCTAATAGAGTTTTGCCAAGAGAACGCACTGGTCATAGCAAATACTGTCTTTCAACAACACAAGAGAAGACTACATATGGACATCATCAGATGGTCAATAGCAAAATCAGATTGATTTTATTCTTGGCAGTCAAACATGGAGAAGGTCTATACAGTCAGCAAAAACAAGACCGGGAGCTGACTGTGGCTCAGATCACAAAACCCGTATTTCTGAATTCAGACTTAAATTGAAGAAAGTAGGGAAAACCACTAGACCATTCAGGTGTGACCTAAATCCAATCCCTTACAATTATACAGTGGAAGTTAGAAATAGATTCAAGGGATTAGATCTGATAGACAGAGTGCCTGAAGAACTAATGGACAGAGGTTCATGTCATTGTATAGGAGGCAGGGACAAGACCATTCCCGAGACAAATTAATGCAAAAAGGCAAAATGGTTGTCTGAGGAGGCCTTACAAATAGCTGTGAAAAGAAAAGAAGTGAAAGGCATAGGAGAACAGGAAAGATATACCCATCTGAATGCAGAGTTCCAAAGAATAGCAAGAAGAGATAAGAAAGCCTTCTTCAGTGATCAATGCAAGACATAGAGGAAAACTATAGAATGGGAAAGACAAGAGATCAAGAAAATTAGAGCTACCAAGCAAACATTTCCTGGAAAGATGGGCACAATAAAGGACAGAAATGCTATGGACCTAACACAAGCAGAAGATATTAAGAAGAGGCGGCAAGAATACACAGAAGAATTATACCAAAATATCTTCATGATTCAAATAATCACAATGGTGTGGTCACTCAATTACAGCCAGACATCCTGGAATGTGAAGTCAAGTGGGCCTTAGGAAGCATCACTACGAAGAAAGCAAGTGGAGGGGATGGAATCCAGTTGAGCTATTTCAAACCCTGAAAGATAATGCTGTGAAAGTGCTGCACTCAATATGCTGGCAAATTTGGAAAACTGAGCAGTGTGCACAGGACTGGAAAAGGTGAGTTTTCATTCCAATCCTGAAGAAAGACAATGCCAAAGAATACACAATTCCACTCATCTCACACGCTAGTAAAGTAGTGCTCAAATTCTCCAAGCCAAGCTTAGAGTACGTGAACTCTGAACTTCCAAATGTTCAAGCTGGTTTCAGAAAAGGCAGAGGAACCAGACGTCAAATTGCCAACATCCATCGGATCATCAAAAAATCAAGGGAGCTTCTGAAAAACATCTACCCTGGCTTTATTGACTATGCCAAAACTTGTGCCGTGTGGAATATAACAAACTGGAAAATTCTTAAAGAGAAAGGAACAACAGACCACTTGACCTGCCTCTTGAGAAATCTGTATGCATGTGAGGAAGCAATAGTTAGAAGTGGACACGGAAAATAGGCTGGTTCTAAATAGTAAAAGGAGTACATCAAGTACTTCAAGGCTGTCTATCATCACCCTGCTCATTTAGCTTATATGCAGAGTACATCATGAGAAACGCTGGGCTGGAAGAAGTACGAGCTGGAATCAAGATTGCAAGTTGAAATATGAATAACCTCAGATATGCAGATGACACCACCCTTATGGCACAAAGTGAAGAAGAACTAAAGAGCCTCTTGATGAAAGTGAAAGAGGAGAGTGAAAAAGTTGGCTTAAAAATCAGCATTCAGAAAACAAAGATCATGGTATCTGGTCCCATCACTTCATGGCAAACAATGCAAATAGTGACAGACTATTTGACTACTACACTATTTGACAGACTATAGTGACTGCCGATATTATAGCAAGAATTGTTGAAAAAATTCTTAACTAAGCATGAATGGGGTGGGATATTATAATCAGTACTGTCTCACATAAATCTTGGATGTTTTTCTCTTGGCCACTCAAAAATGTGACCAGAATTATTTAAGGATTCTCTAAGCTTTCTTGGGAGATTGTTATATTATTATTCTAATGTGACTGTTAGCCATATTCTTAATACTTCTTTGCAATGTATTACTCAAGCAGATGATCATAATTCTTATAAAGTTACCTCCATAGTCTCTTGTGCACAAAAGATAACTGTGATTTATATAGCCATTGGAACCTATGTTATCTGAAATAAAGTGTCGGTTTTCCTAAAATAGCACATTAGCCTATATCATAACTCTCATGATATCCTTGTATT